GAACGAGAGAGAGACACACACCGCAGAATAGCAAGAGAGAAACGATATTGAGTTGTGAGAAGGGATGACGGGGGCAGATATATATATATATATATATATATATATATATATATATATATATATATATTAGGGTTTACAGCAGTACGTACTTATGAACCTAGTATGATTAGGAAACTATTAGGAAAGTTCTTGAAAATTCTAGATATATTAAGAATTGAGAGATCTAATGAAATTACTTAGAGTGACTGCTTTGAGAGTTCCGACTTGCGTTTCCATCTTTGGAAAGTGGTTTTTGAATGGATTTAAATAAAAATAATAATTAATTACCAACTTTGGAAACTAGTATATAGTATATACTGCAGCAAAATACTAAAATATATAATTTTTCATTCTATACCGAACAACCCATCATGTATATATATATATACTCTGCTTCAAAATAAGTGTTTTATTTTGAAAATTTAACTTTTTAAGAGAATGATTTTTATTATTATTTTATTATACTAATAGTGAATAAATTATTATATTAATTTTTAGTGGGTCCACAATAATGTTATTGTTTACTTTTTATAGGTTGAATGTAAAAAAAGTTAAATTAGTAATATTATAAAAAATAATACAGACTTTTCAAATGAAACACTTATTTTGAGACAGATAAATATATAAAGGTAGACACATTTTTTGAATGGATAGAGTATACTGTGGTGGTAGCGTTATTGAATACTCGGCCAATCAAAACACCTTCATTTGATAAGTGATGATGAAACTCACATGATAGATTATCCAACAATTGGTAGAAATTGGGGGACATAAGTATCCAAGGTATTCTAGAACTCCTCATCTTCCACTTCCACGCACTTTGTGTCTTTGCTTCACCATGATTGTAACTCATCATCTCTCTCTACCTCAAAATATGAAAAATCGAAGGTAAAGAGTTGTGATGTTTAAATGGATTCAAATTCAAAATAATTAATCTACAAAAAATAGCAATTTGAGAATTAACCTAAAAAAAAAAAACCTTCAATCATTGTATACAAAATAAATTTTCATCACAAAATCATGAACATTTTTTTTTCTTATTTTTTTCTTTTTTGAATTTTTACAATTATTTGAATATTTTTAAGGGAAAATTCCACCCTAATCCTACTCTTGAAGCCTAAAGACAATCAAGTCCTAAAATAATTTTTGACGACAAACAAGCCCTACTTTTGCTACTTATTTCCAAATCAGTTCAAAAAAAATTTATTTCCAACATTACCCTTTTTTGTCCTTTTCTATAATTAGGGTTGGGAATCTTTACCTTCTTTCCTCTGCGTCTTCGATACAGCTGGAGAGAGCTCCCTCAAACAAACGAAGAAAACCACATGCCAAGTCAGTCAAGAAAACGAAGCAAGGTGAAAACCATTTTGCTTGTTCATCGTCATTCACCATTTTTTTCGGTGATTTAGGTAAGGTAACACTTCTTTCTATTCTTTTATTTGAAACTTTATCTTTTAGATTTAGATTGGGGACTTGATGATTGGCCCAGATTCAGACTACGTGCAGAGTTTTAATTAGGGTTGGGATCCCTATTCTCCCCTCTTTTATTAACTTAGATTCTATTAAACTATGCAGTATGTTTCCTGATATGGTTTTTTTTTTTTTTTTTTTTGGTCAAGCAATCCTGATTTGTTGTTAATTAGGTTTGTGGTGATTATTTTTTCATAGATATATATATTTATAATTTGATGGTTAATTGAACAGGTGATGTGATTCCTTACTGACTGCAATTTTTGAAAGAAGCTGACTTAATTTTGACTTAGAAGGTTGAAGAGAAAGGGACAAGCAATTGTCTCAACTGTTTGGATGCATCTCTTGCATGTTACACGAACTATAAATGATAGGAATGTGCGGTGATATGAGAACTAAAGAAGGATTTTTGTTCATCATGCATGTTCTTATAGAACTATACATATAGATGATCATATTATTAAGTCCATGTTTTTTTTTATTTTCTGTGTATCAATTTGTTTGGTGATTTCACTACAATCTTATGTTAATTTTCTAACTCTCGTGAAAAGATGATGAAGATTCCCCAGCCTAATTATTGAAAAGGACAAAAAAGGGTAATGTTGGAAATAAAAAATAAAATAAAATAAAATAAAATAATAAAAAATTGAACTGATTTGGAAATAAGTAGCAAAAGTAGGACTTGTTTGTCCTCAAAATTTATTTTAGGACTTGTTTGTCTTTAGACTTCAAAAGTAGGACTAGGGTGGAATTTTTCCTATTTTGTAATTTTCTTGTACACAAGTTGTAATTTGGATTTCCACCACTTTTAGTTCCAATTTCAACATATTGGTCTTTTGGGTGGGCCTTATATTAAGGAACTACGTATTGGTCTTTTGGGTTCGGCTACGGTTTGGTTAGGCTACACCATGGCCCTTTATAATTCTTTTGTGGGCTGAACTATGAAGTCCCAAATATTGTACAAGTTGTACATACATTGTTACATACACTAATTACTTTAACTTCAAAAACAAAAATAAATAAATAGATCAAATAAAATAAAATAATATGATGATATCATTATAATGGTCGATGACGCCATAATTTAAAAAACCGGTGGATGCTTCATCCATCATTAGCCTTCAAGGGTAGGTTTTAATAGTAAGTTAGGTTATATATATATATATATATATATATATATATATATATATATTCTCCCAAGTTTCAAAGTGGGGATGAAAGTGGATCATCGTCAAACTCTCACCTCGGGGTTAATTCACAATTGTCTAAGCCATTAATTTTTGTGAACACTGAAGTCACCAACTACTGCAAGGAGGGATTTGTCTTACATGATAATTGGATAAAAAGTGATTGGGTACACATTCAATCTCACATCACTCCATTATGATTGTTTAACTTTCTATTATTTTAAAATCGCTCATATAATAAATGAGGCAAGTTTAAACTTGACGAATAATGTTCTAGCAGAGTTCGAATACTCTTGTATGATATCGACAATCAAACTCGAGTTTGAATGTTAAGGTTTGATTTGAACCTTAACTTTCTATATAATTAAGTCTTCATATGATTTTTTAAGATCTCAGTATTATGTAGAAGATTTCAGGAACACTAACTTTATGTTCTTTTTTTTTTTTCCTTTCCAACACTCACTTTATGTTCAATATTGCTCATTATGTCTCTACATCGTCATTCAGTAACAAGTATATCAAAGCAAAATTGTGAAGCTTATGGCTTCACATGAGGTTCAGAGAACGTAGGTAGTAGTTTTAGAGGGTAGTACTTTTGTGTGTGTGTGTCAGTGTGTGTGTGTGTGTGACTGTGAGGCTTAGGTGTCATGCAAGCTAGGAAATTATGGCCAAAAGACGACCCTTAATTAGTTTGTCTGCCTCGACCAGTTTTTAAAAAATTGTTCTACAATTCAAAATTCAGAAAATTGAAATTATTTTTAGAAAATAATAAAAACAATTATTTGATTACAAATATAGTTTCAGAAAATAATTTTTAAAAAATTGAATCAATCACAGTTTTTATATAGTTATGTTGTCCAAAAACAGAAAATTATCTTTGACTCTTGAGATATTGATTTTGGCTTATATACGGAATAAAATAGAATGTACCTTTCTGTTGTGTTTAATATATATTTGGTGTTGGATCCATTCATACATGTAATTAAATTAAGGAAAATAATGTGATCTAAACTTGGCCAATCTCCATTCTTTTGATTAAAAAAAAAAAAAAAATGAGAAGGTTTGAATATTCATGGTCTACTTGCATTTTAGTGGTAATCAGGGGTGGAGCCAATTAAGGGCGGGGGCACATGCCCCTGAACTGGCTCTACCATTTATATATATGGGGCTAATTTATTTATTTATTTATTTTTTTTAAGAAAAAATTTATATAGTGCCCCCTAAATAATTTGATTTCTAAAATTATCTCTTTAACTTTGTATTTATTTTCTCTTTTCCACTTTAGATTGCTAATTTCCTTATAAAAAAAAGAGCTAAATTTTCCTTCTTCAATTAGACTCTATTTTTTTTTTTTTTTTTTTTTTTTTTTTTTTTTTTAAACTTCTCTCATTTTATTGTTTGTTATAAAATATTTAAAAATATCTCTTACAATATATTTATACACACGTATAAATAGATATTGCAAACTCAACTTCAATAACATTTTAATCTCAAATTTGACCTAATACATGAAGTGTAACGCACCTGAATAATTAGGATGTTTACACCTACTTTCCGACCATCCCACATAATATATAAAAAAGGTTTCCTAGCTAAGTCAGTCACAGACTAAACTAACAATTAAAATTCATCTCCACCTCGTTAACTTCATAAATGTATTCACAAGCAAGCTATATAAAGATATGTGAACATAACTCATTTATCTATTAAAAATTATTTGTATTTATAGTTACTATTTTCTTTAATAATCGTGCTCTAAATCTCAAATTCAATTCAATCAAGTTTAAATTCAAGCTCGATCAAAATTAATGAACTATGCAATAAATCATTCATAATCCAAAAATTATATAATATAGAATTTGATGATGGCAAATGAACCAAGTTTAAACTCTACAAAAAAAAAAAAAAAACGTTGGGTTTGAATATTCTTGTACCACCCGACAATTTTGAATTAAAATTTAAAACAATCTATAAAATTTAGTTTTGAGGAAGTTAGATTCATTTATTGTCCTATCAAGGGACAAAATTAAATTCTACGGAGTACCAAAATTATGCTGATTGATTCGTTCAAATTGGGCCCCACCATGGACCATGGTCCAATCACAAGTGTTCCACACCAATTAAAGATGCAACCAATAGTAGAGGTTTTGGAGAACCATTACATTCCCGCTTGATTGGAGCATGAAGTGTCTCGTATGTATCTCACGCGTTAGGCACGTGTGGTGCGTCTTCGTAATCGTCGAAACACCCAAACGAGCGAAAACAAAAGGAGGCGGAACTCAAACCCAACAATAAATCAAACTAAAAAACACGTCTCTATAAACCTATTTCAAGTCCGCGTTCCCTACTCTCCCCAACTGATAGTCCTCTTCTCTCTCTGAACTCATACTCTCGCTCTCTATCTTCTTCTCTTTCGCCCCAAACTCACCGTAAATCACCGTCGATTCATCCCTGTGAAACTCCGCTCTTCTATTTTATCGTGCGAAGTTGGTACGAACACTCGGATTTTAGTACAATTATTTCGAAGTTGAAGCAAATTCTTGGCGTCTCTGAGCGATTTCTCAGTTTTCAAGCTCGCTGAGAAATCTAGGGTTTTGGTCTTTCGATTCTTGAAGTCTTGGTGGGTTTTACAAGCTGGCTATGGACTACGAACCCTACGACAGCAGTGGTGAGTTCACTGAAAAAAGATTCAATATTTTATTGCAAGTTGTGCTAGATTTAGGGCTTTTAGTGATCTACTTAGTGAATTAGGAATTTAGGATTAGTTTTTGTTTGAATTGTTTTCAGCATTGTAATTTTTTTAAAGATTTTGATACTTTTACACATTGTTGGACAATTAGGGTTTGGTGCTCTGATTTTGTGTTTTTTAGTTCATAAATTGATCTACTGGATTATCTTACTTTGTCTACCACCTTGCCTCTATGGGTGGTGACTGTCAAATTTTTTATACATTCTTGTAATTTGTAATTTTCATTATGATTTGCTATAGGAAAAGCTTAAAGAACACAAAAGGACTACCTGTACATTTTTTTTTTTTTAGTTAGGGATTTGGTTTTTCAAGAGTGTACCTTCAACCTTTTCAGCATCATAGAAAGTGCGTGCAATCTTTAGAGCAGCTTCTTTAGTGATACATTCTAAGGAAGGGTTCTGAAATTTGGATCCAAAGAGGAACTCATTTGAAAAGATCATTAGGTCCCCACGAAATGAGAATTAGTAACTGGCCATCAAAGCTCCATGGAGTGGAATTAAGGACCCATCGCATTGGTTTTAAATCTGGGAAATTGAAATGAAAATAGTTATTCTCTGCTTTAGATCTCCTGGACAGACTCAAAATTCCCCATAATTGTATAAGAAGGTTATAATAGCTAAGTAGAGAAAAGAATGTATTAGATAGAGCTATCTCAAGCTAAAGGTTTCTTTGCTTCCTCTCTACCTTTTCTTCTCTAGGCTTAAAAGAACACAAAAAGACTACATCTACTCTCTTTTTTATGGTTGGGGATTTGGTTTTTGAAGAGTGTACTTTTCATGTGTTCGTTATTAGTTTGGGAGTTTTTGTGTTTTCAAGGGACCAAATCCCTGTTCAAACTTGATTGATGTTGAATTGGTGTTCTTGAAGAATAAAGGGAAGATAAGGCATAAGAAACATATAGTCACGACACCAGAGGAGGTTGCGTGATGCAGGTGATGTTCGAGCGTTGAGGAGGACTCTGCATGGCGTCTGTATGCCAGTATAGTCTTAGAGTGTGAGTTGACAGCTTAGCAGAGAAGTGTGAGTAGCTAGCCTTGTTGAGGGCCACTACGACACTAGTCTTTTTAAGCATACGAGTACTCTATGCCCCTGACAATATGCTATACATTTTTTCAATCTAAATGTCTTGGTTTCGAAATGTGCTAATAAGGTAATTGATGAATGTCTTGGTTTTGAAATGTGCTAATAAGATAACTGACTAGAAATATGAGAAACTGTTCAAATGGATGTGTATTAGGGTCATAACGGTAGGGGTAGCAAAACTCAACACGACTTGAACCCAATGTGAAATAGGTTTTGCCACCTAACATGACTTGAGCCCAACATGAAATAAGTGTGTTTGAGTTGAACATAATTGTGCTCGGGTATTTGTGTTGATAAATAAATAAATAAAAGGGTAGTATTTGTGGGTTAACAAAAATATGACCTAACCCATTTAAACATGTATAACAATGTAATACCCTGGAATTGTTCTGGGCAATTTCGTTAGTATAAAAGGAGAAAAACATAAGCATGTTTAGAGTCTCAATAACCTTCATTTTCACAACCATCTACGTATCAGAAAAAACTGTCTACTCATCAGAAGTTCAAAACCCTTATGTTGAGTTGCTATTGTGAGAAACCCTTTTAGTGAACTTCCAGCCGTTAGTCATCGACCTAACGCAAGTGGGGACCGAAGCCCTTTTTGTGAATGCAACAAAGTTGCTCTTCCTCTCAAGCCTTGTTGTGAGGAAACTAGGTCATCTTTCTCGCAAGCAATGGGATATCCGCCTTGCCATTTTCAATAGTGGGCACTACCTTTGGCCATTTCATAATGTCTAATTTACTGAGTTTGCACGACATTATATACACTAAATTTATGAGGTATTGGATAAGAAAAACTGGATGGGATGGATCTGGCTCCTAGTGTCACATTGGTCCTTGACTTTCTGCATTCAATTCCATGCTACATATTTTTGAAATCCATTTATTATCCATTCATTCCGCTAAAATTGTTGGATGGACACTTCTATCTGGATGGGCACATCTATTCACTGTCATCATTGGATGGACATTTCAAAATGACTAATATCCTAAGTTTGCATGATATTATATACAGTTCAAAATTCATAACGTATTGGATAAGAAAGCTGGATGGGATTGATTGACACCTAGTCTCACACTGGTTCTTGACTTCTGTATCCAATTTCATGGGACATCTTTTTGAAATCCATTTTATTATCCCTTCAACTTCAGGGTGATGCTTATGCACATAAAGTGTGACGAACCTTTATCTTCTTTCAAAATTTTCCTTTGTTTGGTTTTTCCGAATATGAGATAACTTTGTTAGGAAAATGGCTATAAATTATTGTATTTGGCTGCCAATGTTTGTATTTGCACCAAGTCAACCAACATTTTGATTTTTATCCTATCATGACTGATTACTTTTACAACTCTAACACAATTTTTTAAGCTGGTGAGATGCTGTATTGCCTAACAGTGTAAGTAGGAGTTATTTTAATCCTGATGATTGTTCTGACAAGAATGGCACTGAATTTTAATGAAATGTTAAAGTAGAACTGTAGAACTATTCAATGGAATGGCCTATTCGTTAGATCTCTTTAAGCTGTTTGAAAGTACTATTTGAGTCAGAAATGTTAGTAATGGGGCCTTAGGCCCTTAGCACTCAACTCTCAAAAGTTAGCTTCATCACAAGAGGCTGTTTCACTTTTCCCTGCAAATATAGTAGTTGAATCAGACTTCTTCTCATCTTTTGATGGTCCTTCGGCACTGAACTTGTTTTTCCTTCTTAATTTTGTTATACAAGTTTGTCTGGTTGCAAACTCATTCTAATGTTATTTTTCATTTCGTGTTTCATTCTGAAATAATTGCAGGAACTGATGATGATCTTCCTCCATCACATCAAAATAGAATTCCAAGAGGGGGCCGTGTTGCAGGGAATGGAAGACCTGCTGTTATGGGTGCAGTCCCATACCCTAGGATGTATGGCGAAACTGATATGGAGGCCCAAATTCACCACCTTGAGCAAGAAGCTTACAGTTCAATTCTTAGAGCCTTTAAAGCTCAAGCTGATGCCATAACTTGGGTACTTTTTGTCTTTCTTTTTGGCATAATCTAATATCTGAATATTTGTTGACCAGGTTTAGTGATTGTTCAATGAAATGTATTTTTCTTCAGGAGAAGGAAAGTTTAATAACTGAACTTAGAAAAGAATTGAGATTATCAAATGAAGAACACAGAGAGCTTCTCGGCAGGGTTAATGCAGATGATGTTATTCGGAGGATAAGGTCTGATAGTTATTATGAGACAAGCTTTTCTCTTTTTTCTAAGAAGTGTAATTTTCAGTGAACTTTTGATCTCTTATATCTTTTAATGGATATTATCTGGATAATGCCATTAGGGAGTGGAGACAGGCGGGTGGCCATCAACCTGGTATGCTTAGTACTGGCCAAGCTGTTCACGATCCAGTGCCCAGTCCCACTGTCTCAGCATCTCGCAAGAAACAGAAGATATCCCAATCCATACCATCTCAATCCTTTGGCAGACCATCTCCTCCTTTCCACCCACAAGCAGTGGCTGCTTCCAATCAACCATCTTCTTCAGCTGCAAAACGAGGATCCGCTATGGGACCCAAGGGCAAGAAGCATAAATCTGTAAGTTGGAAATCTTGCATTAGGAATTGTAATTCTGATTCAGAGATCCTAATTTTATATTCTTTTGTTTGTTAGCAGAATTACCTACTGCCTGGTGTACCTCCAATGAAAACACAATATCCTTCCTCGGGTCCGACTGGAAGGGGCCAACTTGGTAATCGTGTTTCTTCTGGTGCCCTTGCAAGTGAACCTGCTGAAGCAGCATCATTTGATCCATTGATTGGAAGGAAAGTGAGGACCAGGTGGCCTGATGACAACAATTTTTATGAAGCTGTTATTACTGACTACAATGCAGCTGAGGTATATTTGGCTGTCACTCTTGTAGATTTTATTTTCTGTGAATCTTGTGCTGACAGTATCTTTTTTTGAACCATCTTTAGGGTCGACATGCACTGGTATACGATATTGGTACTACAAATGAAACATGGGAATGGGTTAATCTTGCAGAGGTAGATACAATACTTTGTTCCCTTGACCTATCTTATTCAAGTTAAAACAATTTTGGATTGTGGTACATAGAGAAATCGCTCTGTTACTAGTTTATGTAGATATAATGTTGTATAAAAATATTTCAATAGGTACATAGAGAAATGGCTTTGTTACTATTTTATGTAGATATAATGTTGTATAAAAATATTTCAATATAACAAGTAAAAGTATTTGCTATTTGGGTAGTATTAACATTTGTTTTACAATTCTCTTCTGAGTTTCTGGTTATCATTTAATTTGATGAAAGTACATTCTGTACAAATAGCTTGAACTTTTGACATTGACAGGTAACTCATAGTCTTTAAGTATGGGTGTCATGTTGGGCTTGTCCATGTCGATGTTGACATAAAATAATGAAAAATTAATTTTAAAAAATAAAAAATATAGATGGAATTTCTATAAATGTTAAAGACGATCAATAAGCAGTAGCGACTTGAAATCTATAAATGTTAAAGATGATTAATGAGCAGTAGAGACTTGAAACTCATAATGGTGAGGGATATAAGGGTTATGTTCAAGGTTGTTATCAACCTAATGGAAGGATGGTCCATGATGATGACTGAAGAATCTGAGCTAGGGTCAGAGACAGCAGAGAGTGAGAGAAGTAGCCAATGCAAGTGTTCTTCATTGAAAATGTTCAAACCTATTCAAATGAGGTTTCTTAGGCCTTCTGCAGTTGCATATAGATATGTGAGGACCTGCTAAATCATAGGCCCGAGACCACCCCTAGCTAGGGATGAACCTTGCTGGGCCTCAGCTGCAAGGCATAGTTGTCTGTGTGGTGCTGCATTGAGTGAGTCATTGTCGATATATTCTGGGATGCCACGTGCATGGTATGTGTCCTTATTTCTAACCCCCTTTTTTCTTGAATTCCTGCCTTCACCCGATTGAGGCACAAACGATTAAAGCTTTGGTTTTGTCTATCTCCATCCATTTGAGGAATATCTCATTTCGTTTCAAGTCTGGGAACAAGAGATGTAGCTTTCAATATACACCACCAATTTAGACCACCAGTATACACCACCTGATAGAGGTTCTTAAGCATGCTTTTGACTAAGTTATGTATATAGGGCACACCTTTAAGCGGGATTTCATTTGTAATGCCTTTCCCTAGTTGAAGCCATCTGCTTCCTTGGTGGATTCATTGTTGAGGCAGGCTGTTGCTACAAGGGTGATGAAATGATCTTAAAATATGAATAATTGATGGAATTTTTGGTCCTGTTTTCAGGGTTGGTATAATGAAATAAACTTTATTGTTTTGCCTAGAGATGGAATTTCACTTCCACTGAAAGTGAGAGTCCTCCAACTTCCCTGATCTTCCTCTACTTTTTCCAGCCAATGACTATACTACACATAAAAATACATAAAGTGGAATAGATTATGGCAAAATCAAAATTGTCAGCCATCAGACAAGTCACGGAGTCTCTAAACAGGTCTTGCTGAATGCCTGACTCCCAAGATCTGCTTATTTGCACAAATTTTTTTATTTTTTATTTTTTTATATTGTAAACCATGAAATAGATCTCGCCAAAAAAAAGGAAAAAAGGAAAGAAGAATGTAATAATGATAATCAGTGAACTATGTCAAAGGTCTTGCTTCGAGGACTCTCAAAAATAGTTTCTTAAACCATTGAAATGAAAAAGGGCAGATGAAAAAAACTTCTATGCTTCGAGTATGTAAGCTAAAAATAGTTAAATAGAGAAGTGCTCTTGAGCCAAGCCAGTCCTATAGGTCAGCCGTGCTTCCCTCTGATCAGAGAACCTGTGGATGAGTAGATGTTTTTGTCTGCAAAATAATTCCTAAACAATGGACTGTGCTTGTCTTTGATTTGTTGTTTACTTAAAGCATGAGATGGACAGTATGCTATGATATATTATCAATCTTGAATACGATGTCTGGTTCAAGTTGGATTAGATTGTCATTGAACTTTTTTTAATAACATTATAAATGCATGTAGATGAAACTAATTTTTTTAAATCATCACATGCCTTTGTTGCTTCTATATTTACAAACCCCAACCACACTCCACCCCCCTACCTAACCCAAAGATTTTCAAGTGTTACTTGTTTTTTGTTTCTTATGGCAGATTTCTCCCGAGGATATACAGTGGGAAGGTGAGGACCCTGGCATTTCTCGTCAAGGGGGTTATGGTGGATCAGGACATGGGATGAATAGATCTGTTGGGCGTGATGGTGGACCAGGTGCAGGAAGGGGTAGGGGTGTTCCGAAGGGTCAATTGCGGAAAGATTTTCCACCGTCACAAAATGGCATAGGAAAGAAAGGTTCAGATGATATCCAAATACTTCATACAGAAACACTAATTAAGGAGGTGGGCAAAAGCAACTTGATCCATGTTAGTAGCCATTGAGGTGTTGATTTTGTTATAGTTATTTTTTATTGTCTGGTGAGATTGGACAGGTGGAAAGGGTATTTGGTGCTAATCATCCGGATCCTATTGAAATTGAGAAAGCGAAGAAAGTGCTGAAGGTCAGAAAAGCCACCGCAATTTTGTAAGTTATTGTTACATACTAGTCAATATGCACAACAGGGTTTAATGATTTTTGCAATGCAGGAGCACGAACAAGCGCTGACTGATGCAATTGCGAGGCTCGCAGATATTTCTGATGGTGAAAGTGGTATTATTACCTAGAACCTTTCTACACTATGATCCGTCAGTCAATAATTAATTCTTCAAAAGATCTATTGTCCCTAATCAATATGTATATAAATAAAATACTTAACAATCGCATATCTATTTATTCACGTATGTTGTGTTTATACCTAAATTGAGAAAATATTAAATGTTAAGAATAATTTCAAATGTAAAGCAACAATAATTATAGATTTACTTAAATAATATTAGAGTTGTTAAAAAACTACTTTTATTTTCTTTTTAGTGGTATCATAGATTAATAAGATTATATAAATTCATTTTTAACCACGCGCATCGCACTTCTTCTTTAACTAGTGTGTGTGAATATATATATATATTCGTATGCCCATATGTATACACCGATGTATATACATAATCACCCTTGTAATATCAATAATCAAATTCAGCAAAACAAATCTTAATCTCCACACCAATAACCAGTTTAATTGTATCACTATAATCAATTCAATAGCTGTTTAAAGGTTTAATATGCATATTTAATTAAAATAACAAATCCATGTGATACATTCTAATTTTAAAATTTAATCAATATAAGTTCTTATAATTTTGTATGTAAATGAGTAAAAATTATCAGAGGACCAGTTTGGTCATCTCTTGGAAAGTCAAATAATTGGATTTTGTTTTATCTTTGCATTTTATGGAAAATTTTGTCTCCTATGTTGGAGTTATCCCAGATGTAGCCTCATTATTTATGAAATCCTGAAAATTTTGTCATATCAATTTGAGCAAAAATATAAAGAGCTACATAAACATAATAGCAGTATCATTGCTATATATAAAACAAGAAGTTGTACCAATCTTCATGGGAAGTTGAATATATTTTATGGTCATTAATATATTCGTCTTCTAAAATAATATCATGCATCAATTTTTGTTCTGGACTTCTATCGTTACAAATATGCTACCATTAGGTGGGATAATGGAGCTAAAATATTCATTGTGGAATATAGCTGATCGCACTTTGGCTTATATGTGCCATTTGATCTATATATATATATATATAGGCCATTTACCGAGACTTAGAAAGGATGTTAGAGGGACCTTTCAATTAATTTTCTATCTTTCTCATTAGTGCCCCTTGATGATTCTTATGGTTTTGAAACAGATGAGGGTGGCCGTTTCTTGCATGGGCAATCAATGGACTAAGAATGATGAACGGAGAAACCGGATCAGCAAAAATAGCTGTAGAAGGGAAGTTGAGATGGGGCAGAGTGCATTTTGATGGTGGAATTTTGCATGTCCCGTTTAATTCTAGGTTTTGTTGTATAATGTGATGGTCTAATTGTATGTTCCATAACATTGAATTTACTGTAGCCTGGGTTTTCTAGAGTAGCCTTCTAATTGGTAGCTGGGGTTGATAATTATCTTTATGATATGCTTGTGTAAAATTATTTGATTCATAATTAGCAAGTCATCATCATGTAAAGAGTTTCTTTTGGTGTTGGTTCTTATTGTTGTCTCTTCAAGTAAAGTCTGCTTCAGAGAGAATGTTTCTGATATCAATTAATGAGGTACTTAAATGAAACCAACAGGCATGTGACCTAACGGTATCAGACTCCTGTTTTCTAAAGGGATGTCAGGGGTTCGAGCTTCAGTGGAGGCATGTGTGTGTGAGTACCAACTAGGAAAAAAAAAAGAGGTACTTAAATGAAGTTGTTGAAATTATTAGGCTGGGAGAGCAAAACCTTGGTTCTGATTATATGAAGGTAAAATGTGGAGAGCCTATATGGAAATTCTCATCAGCGATGGAAGTCTACGTTAACCTAGTTCAATGGAAGTCTATGGTAACCTAGTTCAATGTTATCCATACAGTATGTATCATCATTATCATCAATGTTATCCATACAGTATATATAATCATTATTATCTTTGTCTTTATCTCGTGAATGGGGTTGGACATATGAATGAATGTTATCAATGGGATTGGACATATGAATGAATGTTATCAACTCCGTTCCATTCAAGTTGAGAAAACTATTTTATTGAATTTATATTGTACCACTATCATTGTTTTTGTCATTTATAAATCATCATGATAATCATCATCCATCATAAATTAAAGGGTAAAATCAGTTTCATTAAACTTAACATCTTTAATTTCTCCCATTTTTGAGAGAATAGCCAAACCATTATTGGGGGTTGGTGAACCTCTACTTTTCTCTCCATTTTCTTTTTATAATTTTATTATAACAAACAAAAGTTTGGTCTCTGCCCATTTTCATTACTTTGCTATACTTCTATTTCTCTCCAACCAAATTGAAAAAACTTGGAAATGAGGTCAAATTGGGCACAAACACACTGCCAATAAATGAAATATTTTATAAGCTGAGTCTTTGGGAATATTCACTCCAAGCGATTGGACGGCCCAGCATAATTTGGAGTGCCATCTGGTTCTTTGGATGGGCTGAAAGAATCAATGCTACTCCTGAGATCGATTAATAGAATTTGAGCCTTCAATCAGGGCCTCATTTTGGCCCAAAACTCATTGAACAATCAATGATCCAACAAAAAGTTAAAAAATTTAGATTTTTTGCCAGTGTAATAATACCTCTTGCATGTGCAAATATTAGGGGTGTTCAAAAAATTTAGTAAATTGAAAAATCGGACTGGATTGAACTAAATTAGACAATTTGAACTGGTTTTATAACGGTTTGGTCCGGTCTTGGGCCTAAAATTATAAAACTGTAATTTTACAGTCTGGTCCTGGTTTGGGTCCTGGTGGACCGGCCCAACCCGGACCAAACCTTTATATAACTTGTATTATATATATATATATATATAGAAATGATATAACTTATAATCTTGGCTGGACGTATTTTTTAAACTTTTCTCCGGCCATGATAAAAGCTAGCAAAGAGAGAGATAAATAAAACAAAATGATGGGCCATAATAAGAAAAACATCATATGAAAATTACCAAATAATAAAAAATTACACAATCAGAGACCACATGGTACAAAAATAAAACATAACCATTAGGGATCAAATGAGATTATTGGTTCCTTAAACACTAAAGTGGAAGAGTAGTGTTTGTCAAATTGTATCAGAAAATATATATATAATAAATATATATACTGAATTGTCGATTCACTGTTGATATATTATATAGAAGGAAAAATCAAAAATTCTATTTTTAAAAAATAAAATAAAAACGAAATCAACTGAAACTGACAAACTGAACCGAACTAAACCGATTTTTCGTGGTTTGGTTCTATGAGTATTATGATTCGGTCTGGTTTAAAAAATAGTGAAACCGTTATAAATGATTTGGTTCCAAAAAGCTTTCAATCCAATCCAAATTAGACCGTGTGCAAGGTGACCCTGCTTTTTGAAGGGTATTCCGCCCGTGTTGAAATTTACAGAGAAATCACGGTATAGCATATATGGTCACCCTAACTATATATATATATATATATATACACACACACACACACATACATTTACAACATTGAATCCAGTTGTATGGCCCTACTCAAATCCTACTCCCCATTAGTTACTTTATCCTATTTCCATTAATTACTTTACTTTCTTGTTCTATTATCTATGGATTTTAATTGATAAAATTTCGCCAGTAAAAAACTGGTAAAATTTTACTATTAACGTGATGACAATTTCACTATGGTGCAGAAATTTGAAAGTTAGTAAAAAAAATATAATAAATAAAAATAAATAAAAAAGTAATTACTCAGAGGATTTTGATTTTTGGTGGTAATCATAACAAACAATAAATGGTTAGGGATAGTAAATTCTCCATCCCCATCGGCCCTGCCACCCCGTTCCGCCTAATTTATAGCGGGGATTGAAATCCTTTTAACTAAACAGGGATGGGGATGGGGGCAAATTATGAATCCCCGCCGGGACCGGGGTGCGGGGATGGAATAAACTCACCCCACCCCGATTAAGTGTAAAATTACTAATATATCTTTACATATAATAATTTATTACTAAATTAGATTTATTATATATATGAAAATAAGAAAAAATGTGTTTTTTTTTTTTAATAAAAAAAATTGAGGCGGGGGAGGGCGGGTATGGGAATTTTGGCAAAATCTTAAGTGGGGATGGGAGTAGGAATGGAGAATGAAAATTGCATCGAGAATGGGAATGGGGAATGGAATCCCCCTGCCCCGTTGCCATCCGTGTACATGGTAACGTTCTTATCATAAATAAATAAATTAATATATACAGTATTACACACACACTTATTCATATAAATATAACTTCTAGGATCTGACAGTAGATATGCCTTTTCCACATAATTTCAACAATTTTTTTTTTTAAACAATATAATTTCAACATTTATGTAAATTCATCCTCAACTACTAACTTCCTATGTTAATTGGCCATTAGTTCAATGCCTTTCCTCCCTCAAAAGAAAAGTGAAAAATTGGAATTCCATATTGAGCAATTCCGGGCAAAGCATTTTCCTTCCCTTCCCTTCTTTGGAGTAAGTGGTGGAAAAGAAAAAGAACCAAAAAGTCTGTTTTTATTCGAGACTTCACCAACAGAAGTATGATCTGTTACTGCTAAACCCACGATACAGAGAAAGGTGTCTCGCACTTGCATCGCTTTCTAACGTTAACGGTGGGACATCATCCGGTAGTCTCTTTCTTATTGGGGCCATTCTCACTGCACTAATTTATTTATTAACTGAATATTTTTTATTAATTATTTATGTACAATACACGTGAGTAGATGGGTCAAGATTTTCCTTCTTTATTTATGCATTAAATGAACTAATTAAAAAAATAAATCTAATAATTTATTATAATAAATAAGATAAATAAAAGAATGAGCCTTCCTGTGCATAAATAAACAACAGTTGATTGATAATTCACCGCCATATATGGGTGCAAATATCGTTAGTATCCTATCCTCAGTACACTTCACGCAACTTCCCACCCACACACATACACGCACGCACGCACGCACATGTACATGCACAGTCACAAATGTCACATCAGATTTTAATCTTATTCGATGGGTTTGTGTTCTTCATCTCAATCCATCTTCTTCCATTCTCCCTTCCCTCTCTCTCTTTCCTTGCATCCAATCCTAACCCATTTTATATTTGTATCACATGATTTCATTTCAGATTTTCATTTTTTGATTGTGATCATGAAAATCTTTGTGCATGTCTGATCAATCTTCATTTGTGGTTTTTGAAATCTCATATATTTAGCCTAAAAGGAGTTTGTATGTAATTTTTTTCATCATCATCATCATTATTATTATTATTATATATTTTTTTTTGAAAAATGGGTTTTTCAGTTTTATCTTGGCCTTTTCAAGTTCACCTGAATTTGTATATATTTTTGAATCCCAATATGTTTTGAATATGATCTGGATTTTCAGTGAAAGTGCTCTTTTTTTTTTTCTTTTTTTTTTTTAATGAATTAATGGCAACTCTTCAGTGCCTTGCTTCTTGCAATGAATACTATCAGTGTGGTGTTAAATTTTCCGATTTTAGTGTAAAGAATTCTGGTATGAGAAGCTATAAAACGAAGTGTGAAGAAAGAGGGTATTTGGATTTAGATGAAGAGAAGGGTGGAAGGAAGAAGCCTCGGATTTTGATCGCCGGAGGAGGGATTGGGGGGCTAGTTCTGGCTCTGGCAGCAAAGCACAGAGGTTTTGAAGTGAAGGTGTTTGAGAAGGATTTGAGTGCGGTGAGGGGTGAGGGTCAGCACCGCGGCCCAATTCAGCTTTCAAGTAGTGCTTTATCAGTTTTGGAAGCCATTGATAAGGATGTCTTGAAGCAAATTTTGAAGGCAGGTTGTATTACTGGTAATAGGATCAATGGCTTTGCCGACGGCCTATCCGGGAAATGGTATGTTTCTCTATTGAATTTTGAAAAGAGTACTTGTCAAGTAGTGTGTTCTTTACTGTGAAAGATGCTAAATATTTATGTACTGCAAAAATTGGTTGTCGATTGTTTATAATTTGCATAACTAATAAAAAGTGTATTCTTGTTACATGACAAAATTTATATTTGAGCTATTCTCTAAACATTTGTTGGATTCTCATAAAGAATGGGGAAATACAACAAAAAAATGCTAGTAAATGATTAAGAAAGGAACACAATTCTAAGCCTTTTCGTTTCGAGCTATTCTCTAAACATTTGTTGGATATAAAGAAATAAAGAATGGAGAAATACAACGAAAAATGCTAGTAAATGATTAAGGAACTCAATTATAAGCCTTTTCGTTTCCCCTTTCTCACATTCTTTGTTTGCATAGTCGCTGCTTGTGAGACTTTAGGAGCAATCAGATGATCTTGAGCTTTAACTGTGTCTTAAATATTGTGATCAAAGATAAAACACACCATTGAATAAGATCAACAAAGATCTTACACTATAGATGATGTATTCAATAAAAAGGATCATATTTCCTCAGAGCCGTGGTTAAGGTGGTTTGAGCTCGAAATGTAAGCACCATACCTGCCCGCAAGAATTCCATAGCTCTTAAACCTATCACCCTTTTATCCTGATAGTAGGTTGATTGGCCAATCTTTGATGGGAATTGTTTAGCAACTTCATTATTCACTCATCATAATCCAATTTCCCTAATTGAGTCTCAAAGCCCAAGCATTTGATCTGGTAACTTTAGGTACTCGGCTTTCCGTTTTGCAAATCGAATTTGCATCAAGATGGAATGGGTTTCTTGTTTCTTTAGCACATCATAATTATAGTTTAATGAGAGCGCTACAATTTTATCACAACTGAGCTCCACTTAGTTTTTCCTACTCTTTGAGGCTGATTAGATTAATTAACTCTACATGTTGTTCTACCTAGATTCTAGTACTTCAGTTTCTTTCCTATATGTAAATTTTCCTGGCATAAGCATGAACTTCCTTTTTGATCACATCGATCTGCTTATTTATATGGATATTATTTTTATTTTTTGTTTTGAGATATGATTAAAGTTCTCCATTAATCGGCTCCTTTCTCTCTCTCTCTCTCTCTCTCTCCAGGTTTTTAAAGTTTGATCTTTTGACTCCTGCCGTAAGGAGGGGACTTCCTATTACTCAGGTAATATGTAGAATGGAATTGCAAGACATCTTAGTAAATGCAGTTGGGCATCACATAGTAAGTAACAAATCCAAAGTTGTGGACTTTGTGGAAGACTGTAACAAGGTTTGAAACGTCCTCATCTTTAACTTTCCGATTTAATTGAATTCTATATTGAGCTCTAAACTCTTTGCATAAATTATAGGTCACCGTAATCCTTGAAAATGGGACGCAGTATGAAGGTGATATTTTGGTTGGTGCAGACGGGATACGGTCAGAAGTTGGTCACATTTCTTTACTATTCTCTCCAGAAATACTTTTGATTAGCCAATTTTTTTCTACCCCTTGATTAGCTTTTAAATTTTTATCATCTTCATTCTAGGTGCGTTCAAAACTATTTGGGTCCCAAGAAGCAAAATATTCAGATTATACATGCTATAGCGGACTAATGAACTTTGTGCCGCCATATATTGATTCTATTGGGTATGCAATTGTTGTGTATATATTATCCATTCATCATGGGTGGGGGGTGTATACTTAACTAGCATATGTTTTCATCCTTCAATAATTCTCAATCTTCATGATTTTAGAAGTAGTTCTTTAGTTACTTCGTGATTAAATTTACTTACATGTATTTGAAAATTTTCTACAATTTTAGACTTAAAAAGAAAAAGAAAAATGTGGGTAATGATAGTTTTTTGCCTAAAGAATAGTGCTGCATCTGTAGATACAAGCAACCCATAAGTACGAGATTTACTTATTTTGGCTTTCTGCTATGCAGGTATCGTGTATTCTTGGGACTGAATCGGTATTTTGTTGCTTCAGATGTTGGAAAAGGGAAGATGCAATGGTATGCATTCCATAAGGAGTCCCCCATTAATACTGATCCTCCTGGAGGCAACTCTCTGACTCTTTTAATTCAAGTCTTTGATGATTACCTAGCTAAAGGATTTAGATCTATTATTTAATCTGAATTTTGTATGTTAATGCTGCAGGTGAAAAGGAGAGGCTTTTGAAACTGTTTTGCGGCTGGTGTAATGATGTGATTACACTAATTTCTGAAACACCAGAGCATATGATTTTACAGAGAGACATTTACGATAGAGACATGATATACTCCTGGGGAAATGGACGTGTGACTCTGGTAGGTGATGCTGCTCACGCAATGCAGCCAAATCTTGGCCAAGGGGGTTGTATGGCAATTGAGGTATGTATGTTATAAGTGATTAAGTTTTAAGGTTCGTTTACTTGCAGGGAGAAAAAAAAAAAATGGTTTGTTGGAAATCCATCTGTTTGTTCTTCATAGCATGTGAAATGACTCTTGTTAGGTAGCACTAATATAAACAAATCAATTTGATATGTCTTTCAAGATCTTGCCAAATGATTCCTTCTTCTTAACTTTTTTGCACAGTCAGATGGCGTTGCAATGATTATCCTTAAACCAAAAATGTGTTCAGAAAACAAATTAGAGCGATTTCCTCTACATGTGTGTCACAAACAGCCCTTTTAAGTGTTATAATAATTCTTTAATAAATCTTAGAGATATCCACGTGGGATGATGATTTAGTAGAATTCTAGAGCTTACAAATGAGATACTTCTACCATAGGCTCATTCCTTTGGAAATCACATGTGCAGGATTGTTACCAACTTATACTTGAGCTTGACAGGGTTGTCCATGGTGGCTCTGATCATTGCTTGTTGAATCAAATTGCCTCGGCACTTAAAAGGTAATTCTTGGGCAAATTGTGAAAAATCTCCTTGTAATTATAGAAATAATGCATTCATCTAAAGCTAACGATTAACAATGACTCTACCTTTAAATCTTTGGAGTAATATTAGTTTCTTTATTCTCCATTTTTTTCATCAAACGTTAATTATATGGTATGAAAATCGTGATTGCTCCCTCTTATCACAATTAATAAATGTTTAGATGGTAAGGGGCAAAGTCAATAGATGCCCGTATCACATGAAATGTAGACGGTGCTGTAAGTATCAGTACAGAACTTCAAAGAAGGTAGATTTTATATAGTTTTGTGTAAACATCAGGGGAGGTTTCTGTGACCTCCACCAGTTTTTTAGTGTGCTGCTTGCTGGTGGATTCAATTGTAATAAGAAAGGTGTAAAAGTAGAACTATATCTGTGTCATGCGAGGATTAGTATCTGGAAGCAAGTTCTATAAAGAATATTTTTCACTTTATTCATATCACACTTGTTATCTAATATTTGTTCATTAACAGAAGGAATTTCACAGTAGTGGAAAATTGGTGTTAAGGTGGGGTGCTAAACCATGTTTACTTCTGGACAGTTAAAACTTGTGGCAAATGCGATCTTCTTTCCTGTGAAGTCAGTGCTGATTTACGTATGAATTTTTTAAAATTTTTTCAGCTTAATTCCAAGAACAGTTAAAAGAGAAAGAATCAAGGTTTTTTTTTCCCCTCTAATTGTTCATATCCATATGAAGCATGAGTCCATTTCCCTGTGAGTCCAACTATTTTCTAGATAAAGTGGTTAGTTAACTTAGTTTTAGTCTTCAAAACCTGAGCAAAAATTTCTGAAAGAAATATGTATACCTATTCTATCTTGCTATAACATGTCAAATAAAATCATTTTATTTCCAAGCCTGAGGGATAAATCCAATAGTTGGGCACCATGGCTCATTAAGCATAGGTCACTGAGCTGACTTCCCCTCGGGGCCAGTCCCCACAAAATTTCCCAAACTTACCTGTGCATACAGTTTGACTTCGTGGATGTATGATTGGATGTAAGTAGTCACATCCAAAGGTTGGCCATGCAACTCTCTAGTTACGGAAAATTTCATTTTACTTTCTGTAAGTCGTCTTTCATTTCTGTTTGGCTTTTAAGCAAACTATTTGTTAGATCTTGTTGAGATGCATCAATGTTCCAACTTATTCACATGAACAGATATGAGAAGAAAAGAATGTTCCGTGTTAGCATAGTTCACGCAGTGAGCCGAATGGCATCAAAAATGATTTTCTTTTACCAACCTTATATGGAATTCGGATTTGGCCCGCTGCATGTACGTTTCCTCTCCCCTGTTTGATCTCTCTTAAGGCTTCTCTTTCTTTGAATTGGTAACGGATTTTTCTTGTGTGTTCCTCTCATTGTTGCAGAATCTGGCTTTAGTACCACATCCTGTAATTCATGTTGTACGCGCATTTTTGCAAATCTGTTTGCCCCAATTCATGACTTGGACAATAACAGGCCACTGGTAAGCCAAAACTGTTCCAATCCACCTCTAACTTGTCAAATGCCACAGGTAGTTTTTGAAAACTATCCACATTTTTTCAGTTCAAAAGAAAAATCCTTAGATTGCTTGTGGTGCTCTCCAAGCAGGTTGTAATGAAAGAGAGATGACTAAACCCTACTGCAACATCAGTAGTGCGGGGTTGTTGATCTGAAACTTGATGAACTCTGAGGTAAAGGTTCAGGGGATTGTGGAACCACTGAAAACCAGAAAGAGAAGGTAATTTAGAAGCACAAAAGTCTGAGAAAATGAATTTAGAGCACTTCATTAATGATCCGAAAAACCGTGTTATTGAAATAGCATGTCATATATATGGTGATGGTAGCAGGAGTTGGAGCAAGGGATGAATATTTTTCGCTTTATTCATATCACACTTGGATGGCATCATTTCTTACGAGCTGGATTTTTGATAAAATTTCAATATATATATATATATAAATGGGACAGTTGTAATGGTTAGGACTTGGATGAATGCAACTTGAGATGTTAGATGATTCCAATTGAATTTAAGCTCCATTAATGTCTCATAATTTACTTCTTTGCAAGGAAAAGTTGACCATGAGGGATTGAGGGCATCTTATTTCCAATGCAATAGTGGTGTTTAGATTGAAAGACACTAATTTCACTCCCAATAAAAATGCATATATGACGCCATTAGGAAAAGATCTCCGACTGTATTGAGGTCGAGTGACTGTCACGAAAGACTTGTTTGTACGGTAATTGGGTTGGTTTGACTAATGGCTATCCTTTGGAGTTGTGCACTAAGCTGGTATATTATGGTACACTTGTTCCATTTTTATTGGTAGAGGATATATTAGAGGCGTAACTTGGGAGAGTTGGGCGGGATGAGGGGTCAACCCTAAGCCCAGGTTGAACCCGAGGTCAGGTTAGTTGGATGGCCAACCCGAGCTCGGGTTGGGCGGGTTTGTGCCGTGATTCTCATCTCTTTCAAAAATAATAATAATAATAAATAAATAAATTCCCATCATGAGGAGTGAACTCAAGAAGATTGAATCGTAAGAGATATATCAAGATGACAATGGTTGGTGTGGATTTATGACCATAGGTGGTGCTCTAGACGACAACTGGTAATGGCTAACGGCTAGGTTTGTCGAATGAGATTATAGAGTTCCGATGATAAAGGAGTTATATATATATATATATATATATATATATATATATATAATATAGTACTATATATATACGAACGGTAGGATAGAAAATTATTGGCTAAGATTTTTTCTAATTTTAACAATAAAAATAATAAGTATATAATTAATATATGTCGGGCTGGGGTTGGCTCGGGCTAGAATTTTCCCACCCCAATATGGACTCGGGTTGAGAAAATTCAGCCCAACCCCGACCCTACAATTAAAATACCATGTCCGCCCAATCAATGTTAGTTGCACTCCCTTGGGTATATATATCATGCATTATGATGCATAGAATGATTGTGTATGTTTAAAGTGTAAGGTTATCAATATATATATATATATATATATATATAGACACACACACACACTACCTCTCAACTCTCAAGAGCAATGAGCTTTTCTTGTTTAAATTTATTGAAAGATTCATGTGACATTATAACTTTGTGAGGGAATAACTCTATTGATAATCTTAAAAAAATAATGTGTTTTGGGGTACAAAACTTGAGTAAATAAACATATTATCTTGATTTCCTCTCAAAGAGGAATGCAGACACACCTCAAAAGCACTTAGGCGTCGTTTGTTTGGACGTAAAATATTTTTTCATTTTTTGGTATTTGGTTATTGTAAAATATTTAAATTTAATAAAAATAATTTATACATAATTTAATTTTAACTCTACGTATATTAGATGTACCAAACTAATTTAGTTCCAAATATTTTATTTCGATTAGAGTGAAGTTTTGTTTTGTTTTTTTTTTTTTTTTTTGTATGACTAAAAATATATATATTAACTTCAATCTTTTATCCTCAAGATTTTTGGAATCAAATTTTTTTATTAATTAAACTTGATCCTATAATCACATATATTTAATTATTAAACATCAAAAACAAATACTATAATATTTATTATTTTATCTTTGAACTTAAAATTATCAAAAGAGTATAAAGTAATCTAATAACTAAAAGGGTAGTTTTGGAAACTACAATCACTTTCTTTTCACTTTTATTCCTTTCAAACTCACAAAACAATATTTTCGTACAACTTTCTTGAAAAAATTTCTTGCTAACCAAATACATGATAGAACTTGATTTTCTTTTCCTTTCTTTTACTTTCTTTCATTTTCATTTTTCATCAAAAATTTCTATCTAACCAAACAGATCCTTATATTCAATTTCTCATCCACTAAAAAATGATTATGAGTAAATAAATATATCATCTTGATTTACTCTCAAAGAGGAATGCAGACATACCTCAAAAGCACTTACGCTCCATTTGTTTGGACGTAAAATATTTTTTCATTTTTTGGTGTTTAGTTATTGTAAGATATTTAAATTTAACAAAAATAATTTATACATAATTTTTCGACAAGTTATTTTATATATAATCTCAATCTCGACGCAGACTTTTGTCAAATACCGACAAAGTAAAATAAAAAAATATTTTACCTGAAAAAGAAAAATATTTTTCAACAAGAATATTTTACGTAGAAACAAACGGATCCTTAATAGGACTCACCTTAAAAGTTCGTTGAATAACCCTACTTTTTTACTTTATTATACTAGTTTCCAACGTCTTCTACCGGTCCAATTCGAGTTTTTATCGGGCATCCATATCATGCACATGTGTAAATTGTACACATGAAAATGATGAGAGCCATCTTATGTCATAGCACTTGTGCTGTCCATTTTCGGACAAAACATTTTATTTCCCTTCTTTGGCGCAACCGATGGTGAAAAGAAGAGTAATGCTTTTACGAGGCATATAAAGTTGTTAGCTTTTTTTTTTTTTATTTATTATTATTATTATTATTATTAAGATTTATTTGTCAAATTGAAATTAACAATGAGTGCCGGAGGTGTGACCCGTTTTAGGTTCATATCATTAAATTGATTCGCTTCGATAAGTAGGCCTAAAATATATATATTTAACTCAAATTTATTAAATAATTAATTTTACTTTTTACATGTCTCAAAAAATTATTTCATCCAATAATTAATGATTAAGTAGGAATAGTCCACGACTGGTCTAATTAGAGAGAACTCTAAAGAGCTTTACTCATGAAGAAAAAATAGTCTCTCTTTTTATTCTAGCCTTTACCAACACAAATAGAGAATGAGTGGCCTAAAAGTTAGGCAAAACATTTTCTTATACTATTTGATTATTACATGGTCGGCCATTGGTCGGTTTCGGCCAATCATCAATCAGCACAGTAATTTAGAAAGCCATTGGTTGGTTCCAGCCAATCATCAATTGGCACAGTAATTAAAAAAAAAAAAAAAAAGACGGATATTACATGTCAATAATCGGCATGGTTCCCGGTAATAATTTCTTAAGAAATATAATTGTTGTTACTAACTGCTGTTAAACCCATATACTCCATAAGAACATCCGCACCAGTTTCTCCGAATTTTGGCTCTCTAAAAACGCCACATCAGCTTTTCCAAGAGCCACATCAGCAATTTCAAGAGTCACGTCAGCAATTTTCGCTCTCCAAAAACATGCACTCCATCAGGCTCTCCGAATTTTCGCTCTCCAAAAAAAATAATAATAAAAAACTAAAATTATTTTTTTTTTTTTTAACTTTTCCTAAACTGCTATATTTTTAAAAATTGAATTTTTAACCGTTATATTTGTAACGGCTATATTTTTAAAATTTGAATTTTTATCTGCAATATTTTTAAAATTTGAATTTTTATCGGCAATGTTTTTAAAATTTGAATTTTTAACGGCTATATTTTTAAATTTTGAATTTTAAACGGTTATATTTTCATCTTATATAATAAAACTCATTTGCTCATTTGAAAATCATCACTATAATCATCTCTCTCCATTGTAGCAAAATATCATCATCCATCTTTTTCAATTTTGAAATTCTAATGGCTTCGTCATCATAAACTTTTCCTTTGGCAGACTCTAATTCTTCATCTTCCTCGTCATCCTCTTCGGAAGGTGATCTTTTTGGGGCGTTGATTCAACATGATCAAGACAAATTCTATGAGATTATGAATTCAGTGAGGCCAGAGATAGTCGAGCAAGTATTTCAAGTCCGTAAAAGAAGCGGTACATTCATCGTGACCGAGAGGGAAGCCACTATCAGCTAATGAAAGACTACTTTAACGAGAATTGCACATATCCACCGGAGTACTTTCACAGGCGATTCAGGATGCGACGAGAACGTTTTCTTCGTATCCTTAATGATGTCAAAGCTTATGATGACTACTTTATCTAAAAAAAGGATGCAACTGGTCGTCTGGGGTTGTCTTTTATACAGAAAATGACAACTGCTGTTCGTATACTCGCATATGGTTGTGCAGCCGATCACTATGATGAGTATATTAAAATCGACGAGAGAACTGCCATTAAATGCTTGAAGGCATTTTGTAATGCTATTGTTGCTGTGTATGTAGAGGAGTATATGCGCCTACCTAACGAAGCCGACATAACACGGTTGTTTGAAGAAAGGGAGCAGAGAGGTTTTCCAGGTATGCTTGGTTCTATCGACTGTATGTACTGGGAGTAGAAGAATTGCCCAGTGGAGTGGCAAGGCACACATAGGGGACGATCTGGTAAGAATACTCTCGTATTGGAAGCAGTTGTCTCACAAGATTTGTGGATCTGGCATGCATTCTTCGGAATGCCGAGTTCACACAATAATATAAATGTGTTGGATCATTTCTCGGTTTTCAACGGCATCATCAATGGCCAATTACCTCCGGTTAATTATGTAGTGAATGGACATCACTATAGAATGGGGTATTACCCGTCTGATGGTATATACCCTAAGTGGGCAACTTTGATGCAGACCATCCCGCACCCAACCACAACAAAAGAAAAATTATTTGCTCAGCGACAAGAGGCAGCAAGAAAAGATGTGGAATTGGCTTTTGGGGTATTGCAGATCAAGTGGGCAATAACGCAAGAACCAGTGCGTTACTAGGAGAAAGATAACTTGCGCCTCATAATGAAAACGTACATCATCCTTCACAATATGATCATTGAAAATGAGCGTCATGCAAATGTTAGAAGATAGACTCCGCCACCAGAGGATGCAATCCTGATTCCCACTTTAAGTCGATGCCCATCAGTTTTAGCGGCACACATATCCTCTCGCCAACTTCAAATTCGCAACAGAGAGACAAATACGCGGTTGAGGAATGATTTGATGGAAAATTTGTGGAACCGCTATGCTGATGAAGATGTATAATTTATGTTGCATTTTATTTGCTTTTAAGATGTTATGACATTTCGTGTATTAGAATATTTATTATGTAATGGTTTTTTAAGATTAAAAATAATGAATTGGAATAAGAAAATAAGTATTAGAAAATTCTATGGGAATAAGTAGATGAATTTGTAATTTTAATTTTTTTTTTTACAAAAAGTGTTAAAAAAAGTTTATTTATTTATTTTTGGCCCAAATAAATGAGGATTAAAAATAATGAATTGGAATAAGAAAATAAGGATTACAATTTAAAGCAAAAAAAAAAAAAAAACAAAAAAACAAAAAAACAAATTTTAAGGAAAAAAACCAAAAAAAACAAAAGCTTTTTGAATTTATTTTTGGCCCAAATAAATTTCAACTTTAAGGATTACAAAATAAGGATTAAAAATAATGAATTGGAAATAAGAAAATAAGGATTACAATTTAAAGCAAAAAAAAAAAAAAAAAAAAAAACAAATTTTAAGGAAAAAAAACCAAAAAAACAAAAGCTTTTTGAATTTTTTTTTGGCCCAAATTTTTTTTTTTTTTTTTTTTTTCGATAAATAGTGCCTAAACAATATGTTTTTTATTTAATGAATTTTATTTTATTTTTTTCTCAAAAAAAAAGAGCTCACTTGAACCTATTTTTAGATTTTTTTTTTTTTAAAAAAACTGCCAAACAGTGCCTTAAGGCAGTGTTTGGTGCACTGCTACAAAGTGACAAAAGAAAGGCAACCAAACGGCGTCGTTTTGGACCCATAAAAAACAAAAAAAAAAAAAATACCCCGATCGCGGGCCAGCTCGCTGAATACCGCAAGCCGGCCCGTGAGCCTCAAATGGGCCCTACCATTTTGAAGAGGCCGCTGGAGGACCGAAAGCTGGTTTGGCTCGCAGAATAAGGCTTCCGCTAATGGGCTGCGGATGCTCTAATTATGTGTGTCAGAGCAAATGGTATAGGTATGGCCGGGCACACCACACCGAGCTGCTCTTAACTGGATACAGAGAATCTCTCTGTCGCACCTACCCACACAAACGTATGTGTGCCCAGACACAGGAGTCACATGAGATTTTTGATAGGTGTGTATTCTTCAATGCCCATTCTGTGTGGTAAATTTGTATTGTTTGATTTCGTTTCAGATTTTTTTATTTTTTATTGTGATCATGTTTGATCAATTTTTATTTGTGTAGCCTAAAGGAAGTTTGTGTCTAATTTCATTATTTTCTAAGACTATGAAGCTATTTCACTGAACTCATCTCATGCACAACATTAAAAGGAAAACCGTATAAAAAACAAAAAGTGTGTTTTTTGGTAAGTGAAATTTAGCATCATGTGATCAAAGGGGGCATCTAGCTCAATGGTATGACCTCCTCATTAAAGAGCAAGGATATAAGGGAGAGTAGATTTAGGTGGTATGAAATATTCAACGCAGACCTATAAGGAATGATTTCAAAAAATGCACTGATGAGGAGAGGAAGTTTGAATTGGATAGAGGGTAAGAAACAAAGAGATCGACCAAAACTAACATGGAATGAGATAAGGAATGATTTCAAAAAATTAAATCTAGTAGAAGATACGGCATATAATAGAAAAAGTGGAAAAAGATAGGCCGGTATCCAGCCCGTTTGTACGGGATAAAGGTAAGGATGACGACGACGACGACATGTTTTAGTGAAGTTCAGAATAAAAATATAGGATTCATGTAGCTAACCCATGTAGTTGGGAAAAAAGTTTGGTTGTCGTCGTTGTTGTATGTGTTTTGAGTGAAATTCAGTATCATTAGTGTATAAATGCACATACTACCCACTATGCATCAGTGGAAGTTCTCTTGTTTTTAATCAATGGCAACTCTTCAGTACCTCGCTTCTTGCATTGAATACCAGTGTGCTGTTAGATTTTCTGATTTTAGAGTGAAGAAGTCCAGTATGAGAAGCTATAAAACAAAGTGTGAAGAAAGGGGTTGTTTGGATTTAGATGAAGAGAAGGGTGGAAGGAAGAAGCCTCGGATTTTGATTGCCGGAGGAGGTATTGGGGGGCTAGTTCTGGCTCTGGCAGCAAAGCACAGAGGATTTGAAGTGAAGGTGTTTGAGAAGGATTTGAGTGTGGTGAGGGGTGAGGGCCAGCACCGTGGCCCGATTCAGCTTTCGAGTAGTGCTTTAGCAGTTTTGGAAGACATTGATAAGGATGTCATGAAGCAAATTTTGAAAGCAGGTTGTGTTACCGGTAATAGGAGCAATGGCTTTGCTGATGGATTATCTGGGAAATGGTATGATTCTTTATTGAATTTTGAAAAGAGTACTCATCCATTAGTGTGTTCTTTACTTCTATAGATGTTACATCTACATGTTTATGTACAACAAAGATTGGTTGTCAATTGTGTATAACTCACATAACTAATAAAAAAATGTATGCATGTTACATGATACTTTCCATTGCAGCTCTCCTCTAAACATCTGCCGGATTCCCACAACGAATGGAGGAAAACATTTTTTTTAAATGCTATTAAATGTTCAAGAAAGGAACTCAAATTTGAGCATGCATTTCCGTTTCTCTTTCTTTTATTCTTTCCTTACATGATTGTTGTTTGTGAGACACTGGGGATTGGCTTTATCACACTGTTAAAAGAGTAATGAGATGATCTCGAGCCTTAACTGTGTCCTATGTATTGTAATAATAGATCAGCAGCACCATTGAACAAGCTCAACCAAGATCATATGTCCGCAGCAGAGTCTTGGTCAAGGTGGGTTGAGCTTGAGCTTGAAGTGCAACAATGAACGAAGCAGCATAACTGCTCACAAGAATTTCATGATGGGAATTGTTTAGCAACTTCATTATGCACTTATAATATTCCAATTTCCCTTATTGAGTCTCAAAGCCCAAGCATTTGATCTGGTAACTTTGAAAACTCAGCTTTCCAGTTTGCGTCAAGATGGAATGTGTTTCTCATTTCTTTAGCACATCATAAATATTGTTGAATGAGAGAGTCACACTTTTATCACAACTAAACTCCACTTAGTTTTTCCTACTTTTTGAGGTGGTTGATTTGATGAATTTATTCTACATTTTTGTTCAATCTAGGTTCTAGCACTTCATTTTCTCTCCTATTAGTAAATTTGCCTCAACTTCCCCTTTAATCAGATTGATTTGCTCATGTTTTTTCTGCTGGTTTTCCAACTGAAATGACACCATCTTTCTCTTTTGGGGCTTCAGACCAGCAATTCAGATTAATCGGCTCCTTTCTCTTTCTCCAGGTTTTTAAAGTTTGATTTTATGGCTCCTGCTGTAAGGAGGGGACTTCCTATTACTCACTTTATATGTAGAATGGAATTGCAAGACATCCTAGTCAACGCAGTTGGGCATCACATACTAAGTAACAAATCAAAAGTTGTGGACTTTGTGGAAGACTATAATAAGGTTTGAAATGCCCTAATATGTGACTCTCCGACTCTCTGATTTAATTGAGTTCTGTATTGAGCTCTAAACTCTTTGTATATATTATAGGTCACCGTGATCCTTGAAAATGGGATGCAGTATAAAGGCGATATTTTGGTTGGTGCAGATGGGATACGGTCAGAAGTAGGTCACATTTCCTTTATCCTTCTCTCCAGAAATACTTTTGATGAGCCAATTCTTTTTCTCTCCCTTAATTAACTTTTACATTTTTATCACCTTCATTCTAGGTGCGTTCAAAACTATTTGGGGCCCAAGAAGCAAAATATTCAGACTACACATGCTATACTGGGCTAACGAACATTGTCCCGCCATGTATTGATTCTATTGGGTATGTAATTACTGATTCAAGATTTAACTTTGAGTTCGAGAAAGTGATACAACAACTTTTTATCTTTTTTTGGCTCTCTTTGGTTGTTCATTAGGGATGGGGGGAGATATATTTATCAAGCACAAGTTTTCACCCTTCAATAATTCTCAATCTCCAAGATTTTAGAAGTAGCTCTACGGTTACTTTGTGATTAAAATAAATACATGTATTTGAAATTTTTCTACAATTTTAGACTACAAAAAGTATATCTATGTTTGTAGGCATTGATATTTATTATAGTTTTTTGCATTAATAGAATAGTGCATCCATAGATAGAAGCATCCCATAATTACGAGATTTGCTTATTTAGGCTTTCTGCTGTTCAGGTATCAAGTATTCTTGGGAATGAACCGGTACTTTGCTGTTGCAGATGTTGGAAATGGGAAGATGCAATGGTATGCATTCGTTAAGGAGTCCCCCTCGACTACTGATCCTCCAGGAGGCAACTCTCTGACTCTCTTAATTCAAGTTTGTGATAAATGCCTAGCTAAAAGATTTAATCTGAATTTTGTACTTTAATGCTGCAGGCGAAAAGGAGAGGCTTTTGAAACTGTTTTGCGGCTGGTGCAATGAAGTGGTTATGCTAATTTCTGAAACACCAGGGCATCTGATTTTACGGAGAAACATCTATGATATCGACATGATATACTCCTGGGGAAATGGACGTGTGACTCTGGTAGGTGATGCTGCTCACGCAATGCAGCCAAATCTTGGCCAAGGGGGTTGTATGGCAATTGAGGTATGTTATAAGTGATTTAAGTTTTGTAGTAAATTAAGACTACAAGATTCATTTGAAAAACACATTCATATATGATCCATCTGTTTATAGCGATGCAATTACTACCCTTAAATCCAATGTGTTCACTCAAATGCAACAGAAAACAAATTGAAGCGATTTCTTTTTCATGTGTTTCACAA